GAGAGAGAGAGAGAGAGAGAGAGAGAAAGGTCTTCCTTTTTCTGTTGGTTCACCCCCAAAGTGGCCACTACGGCCAGCGTGCTGCACCAATCCGAAGCCAGGAGCCAGATGCTTCCTCCTGGTCTCCCATGTGGGTGCAGGGCCCAAGCACTTGGGCCATCCTCCACTGCCTTCCTGGGCCACAGCAGAGAGCAGGACTGGAAGAGGAGCAACCGGGACAGAATCCGGTGCCCCAACCGGGCCTAGAACCCGGGGTGCCGGCGCCACAGGCAGAGGATTAGCCTAGTGAGCCATGGCACTGGCCCAAAAATCTAGATTTCTAAACTCCAGTCATTTGCGGCAGCACGGGTGGCTTTGTAGTCCACGATAAGAAGTGAAATAAGTCGGCTGGTGCCATTAGGAGAGTGAACCAAGGGAAGGAAGACTTTTCTCTCTGTCTCTCTGTCTCTCTCTCTCTCACTGTCTAACTCTGCCTGGCAAAAAAAAAAAAAAAGAGTGAAGCAAGTCAAGGCCAGAGAGACACATGCCACATGATCTCCCTTGTGTGCGGGAGCTTCCAGAGCTGATCTCACAGTAACAAAGTAGAACCGTGGTCCCCCACGCCTGGAATGGGGTGGGGAAAGCAGGGGTAATGGGGGCCGGGGCACAGTTGGGCAGGAAGAACACGTCTCGTGTGCTGAAGCACAGGAGGGCACATACCTGGGGTTGACACTGAATCGTGTATTTCAAAATACTAGCAGGGCATGCTTTGAATGTTCATAGCACAGAGAAATGCCAACTGTCTGGGGTGATGGCTACACCACTTCCCCTGATCAGATCATCACACGCTGTCTTACACATGTGGAAACATCACACCGTACCCCAGAAATAGGTACACTCATGATCAATTTTCACTCTTAACAATTCACAAAATAAAAGTCTACATGCCTGAACCCCACTGCAGAGCGACTGAATTAAAGTCTCCAGGAATTGTTCCCAGAAGTCCTCATTTTTCTCAAGTTCCCCAGGTGAGTCCAACACCCACACAGGTCTGGGGGGTCCCTGCATGGAGCAGCTCTGAGCTGCCAGGTTAAATCCTCTTCACAGGTAACTGTCACCTGTCCCCACTGAGTGACAGATGAGAGGGCTTAGATGTTTGTAGAAAATAGAATTAAAAGCTTATTTTGATGCCAAAAAAAAAAAAAAACCTTTTGAAATCCATGAATAGTTTTTTTCATGATGTACATTTTCCGTGGACTTTTTTGAAGATGACTCACACACACACACACACACACACACACACACTGCTGTCAATCAAATGCTGGGTTAAGGAGCTGGGCTCCCCCTCCACAGGATAGGAGTGGTTCTCAGCCCCCGCCACACTGGAATTCCCAGCAGGCAAGCATTGTCAAACAGTGGATTAAGCCCCCACTTGGGGGCCAGCATTGTGGCACAGCTGGTTAGGCTGCCACCTGTGACATCAGTATCTTATATCAGAGCTCAGTTTCAAGTCCTGGCTGCTCCACTCCCGACCCAGCACCCTGCTAATGCACTGGGAAAGTGGCAGATGATGGCCCAAGTGCTTGGGTCCCCTGCCACCCACATAGGAGACCCTGAAGGAGTTCTAGGCTGCACAGCCATTATGGTCATTTGGGAGAGTGCACCAACAGATGAAAGATCTCTCTCTCACACACACACAAACACACACACTCTCCCCCCCCCCCCACTGTGAGTTTCAAATAAAATAAATGTTTTTAAAATTTTTTTATTTTATTTATTTGAAAGGCAGAGTTACAGAGAGAAGTAGAGACAGAGAAAGAGATCTTTCATCTGCTGGTTCACTCCCTAAATGACTACAACAACCAGGGCTGGGCTAGGCCAAAGCCAGGAGCCGGGAGCCAGGAGCCGGGAACTAGGAGCTTCTTCCAGGTCTCCCACATGGGCGCAGGGGCCCAGGGATTATGCCATCCTCTACTGTTTTCCCAGGCCATAGCAGAGACCTGGACTGGAAGTAGAGCAGCTGGAATTTGAACTGACGCCCATATGGGATGCAGGCAGGCCAGGGCTTTAACCCACTTCACCACAGTGCCAGCACCAAATAAAATAAATCTTTAAACAAACAAACAAAAAAAAAAAAAGAGAGAGAGAGAGAGAAAAGGAAAGAAAGAAAGAGAAAGAAATAAAGACAAGGCCATCACTTCATCACTTGGGACACCCATATCCCACATCAGGGTGCCTGGGATCAAGTCCTGGCTCCTCTGTTTCTGCTCGAACTTCCTGCTAACAGTCTGGGAGGCAGCAGACAATGGCCCAAGTACTTGGGTTCCTGCCACCTACGTGGTAGACCCAGATGGAGTTCCTGGTTCCTGGCTTCAACCTGGCCCAGACCAGCCAGTTGAGGAGAGAACCAGTGATTGGAAGATCTCTCTCTCTCTCCCTCTCTTCCCCTCCCTCTCTCTCTCTCTCTCTCTCTCTCACACACACACACACACACACACACACACACACACACACACATCTATCTATCTCACTTTCAAATCAGTAAAAATAAATAAACTGAAAAAAAAAAATACATAAAAAGAGTTCCTGGGCCAACCACGGCCAAGGACCTGATCTCACGGCTCAGGGGCGGGGCCGGCCACCGCTGGTATTTAAGACTGTCCCAGGTGATTCTGATGTGTAACCAAGGTTGGCAATTGCTGACCCACAGCAGTCACAAGTGCAATTAAGGCTCATGCCGTGGTTATCGCAAACCAGACACTGCCGTCAGTGTTCTGTGTAGGTGTGTCAGGTTGACCCACACAAGTCCACTGCAAGACAGGCGTCATGTTTATCCCCATGCTGCAACCAGAAAACTGAGGCACGGGGAGAGAGTAGAGAACTTGGCCGCATCGCTGTCTCACTTCATCAGTGGAGCTGAGATACGTAATTTATAGAGAGGAGAAACTGATGTCTCGTGGAGGCAATGAGGTCCCGGGCCAAGGAGCAGGCATCTGGCAAAGGCGCACTCACCGTGGCGCATCACGGCCAAGGGGCGGGCATCCCACAATGACAGCGAAGCGAGCGAGTGTGGCAGCTCGGGCCTCTCTCCCTCATCTTAGGAAGCCACCAGCGCCACGATGGGGGTCCTGCCCTCATGACCTCCCAGAAGCCCCACCTCCAAACACCGCAAAATCCGAATCTGAGGACTGGGTTTCCAGCACAGGAGCTTTGGGGGACACATTTGAAACCATGGCCGCCACAAAGCTAGCGTGCAGCAGCGGTGCTGTGCAGCTGAAGCTGGGCTCCAAGCGCCTGTGTGCTCGACCACCTCCCACCCCTCCGGGAGGAGGTCCCCGTCTCTCTGTAACCATCTTGGAGTGAGTAGAGCAGGCTGTCCATCCGCCCCCTTGCACCTACAGCCAGCTCTGGGCACAAGAAAAGCGAGCACAGGGAGATGCTCTCCCATCTACCTGCATCCTTGCTGCCCTCTGCACCCAGCTCTCCACCCTCACCTCTCCACATCCTGTCCTCTGCACACGCCTTGAGCCGGATGCCACATATTTCCTGGAGAAGCTGCATTTCACCTGATTCGAAGCATTATGTTCTTTTAAAATATTCTGGGCAATCGGACATCACGAAATGGGAGGAAAGTTGTTTACAAAAGGATACGTAGAACAGCTCCTATTTTGGACCTCTATATGGAAATGCTTTTTCTGAGAGAGAGAGAAAGACCTTCCATTCACTGATTCACTCCCCCCCGCCCCACCACCAAAGATCCACAATGGCCAAGGCTGGGCTGAGCCAAAGTCAGAAGCCAGAAGCTCAACCCAGGTCTCCCCTGTGGGTGGCAGAGACCGAAGCACCAGAGCCATCACCTGCCGCCTCCCAGGGTGCACGTTAGCAGGAAGCTGGACTCAGGAGCAGAGCCGGACCTCCAACCCAGGCCCTCCAGTATGTGACGCAAATGTCCCAAGTGGTGCCTCACCTCTGTGCCAAATGCTCACCCCCTTTACCTTTTCAAAACTGGAAGAACACGCACCGTGGTGCCGACACGAGGCTGGTTTTTATTCCTCCTGATCATTTGGGTGTTCTAAATACTTTACAATGAGTTTGCATGACTTTTGAAATAAAGTGGTGGCGGAAATACAAGTAATTTTTTAAAAAGCAATGGTCTATAATAAAGATCACTGAAATTCTAACCAAAAGTATTTTTGTCCCTAATCCTGTATTAGAGAGGGTTGCTAAGGAGCCCTGTACTGCAAATCAGGAACATGGTCTACCGTGGCTGGGAAGGGTGAAGGGCAGAGCAGACAGAAGCCTGTGGAGGGGAGGAGAGACACCCGGGGAGTGGCTCCTCCCCCGCACCCCAGCCCACGGTCAATTCCAATAACGAACGAGACTCTGGCATGCTAACTAGTTATGCGACTCCCGAGTAGTTGGCGTCCCCCAACTTCTTAGAGGGACAAGTGGCGTTCACCCACCCGAGATTGAGCAGTAACAGGTCTGTGATGCCCTTAGATGTCCGGGGCTGCACGCACGCTACACTGGCTCAGTGTGTGCCTACCCTACGCTGGCAGGCACGGGTAACCCATTGAACACCATTTGTGATGGGGATCGGGGATTGCAATTATTCCCCATGAACGAGGAATTCCCAGTAAGTGCAGGTCATAAGCTTGCATTGATTAAGTCCCTGCCCTTTGTACACACCACCTGTCGCTATTGGATGGTTTAGTGAGGCCCTTGGATAGGCCCCACCGGGGTCGGCCCATGGCCCTGGAGGAACGCTGAAAAGATGGTTGAACTTGACTTCTGGCGCCCGATGTGGAGCTCGAACCCACGACCCTGAGATTAAGGGTCTCATGCTCTACTGACTGAGCTAGCCCAGCAAGCCGAGAAGTGGCGCATGCTTCTGGGCGGTGTGTGCCTAACCTGGGGTCACTTAGACCGAGGACAAGGACAAGGAAAGGGGCGTAGGAGGGGGTTCTGTGCTCACCCTCACAGAACCGAACAGCACACAAAACACCGAGGGGCCTACTTACCGAAATCCAGGGGGACCTTGCCGAGTCCGACACGCAGTCTCTCTCTCAGTCATATTGGCACGCCAGATGTTGCAGTGGATTCATTTCTGAGAGGAGGAGCGTGGTGGGGGCAAGAGGCGCAGAGTCACCACACAGACCCCGGGAGTCGGGTTAAAACGGGCCAGAGGCAAGCAGCCTACAGACTCGTTTATTTCAGTTGGTACAATAGCTTATATAGCCAAGGCAGTCAATCCAGTCAAGGGGTGGTCTATGCCCTAACCAATCACAGCCTGTTGCCAGGCAGTTTCCAAAGCCATCCAATGACAGCCTGTTGCCAGTCAGGCGCTATTGCCAGGCAGTTTCTGAAACCATCCAATCACAGCCTGTTGTCAGTCAGGCTCTGTTGTCATGTGGTTTCCGAAGCCATCCAATCACGATCTGTTGTCAGTCAGGCTCTGTTGTCATGTGGTTTCCGAAGCCATCCAATCATGGTCTGTTGCCAGGCAGTTTCTGTTGTCAGCAGCCATCTTGGCATGACCTTCTCACCTTATCATTCCACCACACTTCCCCAAGTACAAAAGTACAAAAGGAGGAAGGCCCCAGGGCAGCCATAAGTGTGTCTCCAGGGAAGCAAATGCAAAGGGACTTTGAAAAGCTCAGAGAAACTTCAAAATGCTTTTTATTCCAGTTCGCAACAAGTTTCTGAAGCCCCCAAATGATTACCAGTTACCACTATTTATCTGATACTACACACCAAGCACTGGGCCCCACGTTCACTTAATTCTCACAGCACTTCAAAAAGGCACTGCTGTTATTATCCCCATGCTACAGATAAGGAAACTGAGGCACAAAGAGCTAGACGATTTAGCCAAGGTCCCATCGCCAGCTCCTCCCTGCTCTTCCTCCTCGCCAGCTGGCACATTTTCAATTGGCACCTGGTAATGGCCAGGTCTGGGGCCCAGATGTCTGGGGCCCAGTGCACTCTGTCGGTGCAGGGAGACAAGATGTAGTAGCCCAGCCAGGATGACGAGCCTAGGTGTCACCCAGCAGAGCTAGCTTTTCTTCTAGCTATTTTGAAATGCCCGTTGAGCTATTAACTATAGCCAGTCACCCTGCTTGCTGCAAAGCGTTACAGCCTATTTCTCCTTTCTAACTGTAACCTTGCACCTGTTACATGACCTCTCCATATGCCCCCTCTCTCCTACCCTTTCCAGTCTCTGGCAATCACAATTTTGCTTTCCACTTTTTTTTTATTTTAAAAGGTTTATTTATTTATTTGAAAGAGTTACACAGAGACAGGAGGAGAGGTAGAGAGAGAGAAAGAGAGGTCTTTCATCTGCTGGTCCACTCCCCCGTTGGCCACAACAGCCAGAGCCATGCCGATACAAAGCCAGGAGCCAGGAGCTTTTTCTGGGTCTCCCATACAGGTACAGGGGCTCAAGGATTTGGGCCATCTTCCACTGCTGCTTTCCCAGACCGTAGTAGAGAGCTGGATCGGAAGTGGAGCAGCCGGGTCTCAAACCGGCGTTGATATGGGATGCCAGCGCTTCAGGCCAGGGCATTAACCTGCTGCGCCACAGCTCTGACCCCTTGGGCTCTTGTACCTGCGTGGGAGATCCCGGAAGAAGCTCCTGGCTTCAGATAGGCTCAGATCCAGTCATTGTAGCCATTTGGGGAGTGAACCAGCAGATGGAAGATCGATCTCTCTCTCTCTGCCACTGTCGGTCTGTAACTCTGCCTTTTAAATAAATAAATAAATCTTTAGGGGCCGGCGCTGTGGCACAGCGGGTTAATGCCTTGGTCTGAAGCGCTGGCATCCCATATCAACGCCGGTTTGAGACCCGGCTGCTCCACTTTCCATCCAACTCTCTGCTATGGCCTGGAAAAAAGCAGTAGAAAATGGCCCGAGTCCTTGGGCCCCTGCACCCACGTGGGAGACCCAGAAGAAACTCCTGGCTCCTGGCTTCAGATCAGTGCAGCTCTGGCCATTGTGGCTAATTGGGGAGTGAACCATCGGATGGAAGACCTTTCTCTCTCTCTGCCTCTCCTCTCTCTCTGGTAACTCTGACTTTCAAATAAATAAATAAATCTTTAGAATTAAACTAAAATAAAAGTGCCTCCGTGAGTCACAATCATTCCCAAGAACACTTCTTTGGTGTCTGCTCTGCACCCAGGCCCCAGCTGCACATTTTCGGAATGTGAGCAGGTGACAGGAGCCAGCCACTCAGCCACCAAAGCACACATGCAAAGACCCATCTCGCTTCTCCCCCAACTTCTCTCCACACTTCAGAGGGAAGCCAGCACCCGCTGCCTCCCAGGCCACAGCATAGCCTGCCCATTACAGAGACGAAGGACGGAAGCCCATGAGGGTCAGGCCCTCCCCACACCAGACACAGGTCTCCATCAGCCTGACTCCCTGGTGGCTCCATTTCTGGTGCAGGGATGACCCCAAGCATGTGTTTGGAAGGAGGGAACGCTGCCTGGAACCTGGTGTTGACTCTATAAAGCACGCAGTCAGAAGTGGGAGGCCCTGCAGCCTGGAGCTGACACATCTACCCATCTGTAAATTGGGTGGGATCGCTTTACCCCACAGCCACTGCATATTCAAAGACCCCCCCCACCAAACACTCTAGAGGCCTGTGTGGCGAGCCCTGAGCTGCTGAGGCCACACTTTCCCCATGGGGACAGTGCAGCAGATGGGGCTGGAAGGACACCAGGGCTAACGGGAACCAGGTTTGCATTTCAGGACAGATCCCAAAAGGACAGAACTAGAGCAACAATGTAGATCCAAGGAGCAAAAATCCTGCCTCCAAAGTGACTCAGGGGAGGGGATGAGGCCAGCCGGGGACCAGGGACAGCCAGCCATGGACCCCAGAGATGTTTTTACATTAAAAATAAACTCTTCAGCGACATGGATGGTGGCAACGGTCGCACAGCAATGCAAGTATACTTAAAGCCACAAAAATGGCTCAAATGATAAATTTTATATCTATAATTTTTTTGTAATTTTTGCCATGATAAAAACTTAAATCTCTCCCTCACCAAGTAACCCTCTCAGTTGCCAACAGGGTACAAATGGAAGGACCAGCCTGCCCTAGGTCTCAAATGCTAGGAAGAATGGAGATGAAAAAACACCGCCTGAAGGCATTTACCTGGTGCCGGTAGCACACTGAGGGCTTCCATCAACTCACACAACCCTCACACCAATCCTTCAGAGTAGATGCGGTCATGGTACCCATGCTGCAGATGAGAAAACTGAGCCCAGGTAGCTTAAGTAACTACCCCCACACAGCCGTCTGCAGCAAAGCTGGGATCTGAACCCAGGCCGTCTGGCCTCAGCGCCTGCAGGCTGGACACACTGCACGACGCTGAGTTGGAAGCTGAACGTCTAAGCCAGCACAAGGCAATGCTGTCCACGCGCCGATGGTCCGCCTCCGTGAAGAGCAGCCGTCCAGACTGCCAACAACATTCCATTTTCTTCCAGAAAAGACGATGTGCCTGTGAGAGCAGTCACTCAGACGTCATGACCCTGTCACCAGCAGAAACGCTGTCTTAATTCAAGGTTGTGCTGTGAATTCCCATCCTTCCCAACAATGTTTGCTGGGTCCTTTCTAAGGATCTTTACCCTACAGCCTTTGAGTGACCCGGGGTCACAAGTGAGTGACCAAATTCATGCCCAGCCTAACCGCTTCTCATTCTCCATCCTGTAGCAGTTGAAGTCACACTGGAATTTTTTTTTTCCTTGCATCCCAAATAACAAAAGCCATGCATACTTTAACTTCATCTCTGCGATTAAAGTAAATCCATAATTTTGGCAAATTCCTCAGAATTACGGGCTAGCAGCATCTGGTTCGGATATTCCCAAGGAAATTATTGGCACGGTCCCAGCCACATTTTTAATTTCAACTCAAATATTCACAGAAACATGTGTCTGCCATCCTGTTTGCGTGTCATCGTTGTAGAGGGCCTCGGAGTTTCAACCCGGGGCTTCAGAAATTAGCTGTGACACCTGGGCACTGCCCGCAGGCCCCTTAGGACCTGGCTGCCTCCTTCCCCGGTGCCAGGGGAGGCGGCCGAGCTGGGCCAGCGGTCAGTGTCCTTGCCCCTGGCTCCTCGGAAAGACGGGCCTGCAGGTACTGTGTGTCCATGTTCCTAGCTCTTCGTTCTGCTCCCAAATTACATACCTCGCTTTTATGTCAGCTCCAATATAGCTTCCTGAGCAGTTTGTTTTTCCCCTCCTTATTCCACATCAAAGGGACCCAATTACTTTTATAAATACTTGTTTTAAAAATATCGCCGTGGTTTCCTGCTGCTTCGAATTCTGAAGGGCTCTGCAGGATTTTAGACGCTTATAAATCTTTCAAACAGTTCATATTTTATCAACAAAGTGCGCTTTTCTGTAAGCCCGAAGTATAACTCCTCATCGAGGACGCCTTTCAATTATTTGACCTTTCCATAAAAACGACAAGCTAGAAGGAATTTTTGCCTCTGAAGTTATTTGCACTGCCTGCTTGTGTTCATTAACTCTGCCTCGCCTCGCCCACCAACAAGGGTGGTGGCTTTGGTGAAGAGAGCAGAGGGGTTGTCGGTTCCAAAAACCTCCCTGCAGAGGTAGAGCAGGGTGATGTGCTGGGTCTTTGAAAGAAAAAGAAAATTCCAGGAAGGTCTTGGCTTTTGTTGAAACCGAAAAGTTCCCTAGCTCACGACAAAGACTTCTTCTTTTTTTTTTTTTTTTTTTAGATGCATTTATTTATTTGAGAGGCAGAGTTACAGAGAGAGGGAGAGAGAGAGAGAGAAAGGTCTCCTATCTGCTGGTTCACTCTCCAAATGGCCACAACAGCCGGAGCTGAGCCAATCTGAAGCCAGGAGCCAGGAATTTCTTCCAGGTCTCCCACATGGGTGCAGGGGCTCAAGGACTTGGGCCATCTTGTACTGCTTTCCCAGGCCAGAGCAGAGAGCTGGATCGGAAGTGAGCAGCCAGGATTTGAACCAGCACACCCATGTGGGATGCCAGTGCCGCAGGCAGAGGCTTAGCCCACTGTAACACAGAGACTTGTTAAGTGAATTTTTCCGTGTGCTCACTGGGTCATGTGCTGAAGCATCACCAGGGATGCAGAGGAGGCCAGTGTGCGCTGTGCGGGTGCCTCTGAGTCCCCAGCTTGGCACTGTCCTGCCCAGTCCACTCAGAGGCTTGCAATCACAAGGGCACATCTGTGGCTTTGCACCAGGGACTCCTTGGAGAAGCCCGAGGGACCGCCACTTGACTCTCTCCCCTCAGAAAATCCAG